TACTCCATTACTACTACTCTACTACTACTGCTGCTGCTGCTGCTGCTGCTGCTGCTGCCCTACTATTACTACTACTAGGCGGCGGCTCGAGCGGACGAAACATCTCGCGGTTCGCACGTTCCTCGAACGCCGGTGTTTCCTCTCTCCTGCAGAACGACGACGGCGGCGGAGAGAAGTGTGGCGAGAGGGAACGGCCGCACGTGGCGCGACTCAGGATGTCGAGGCTGCGAGCGACGGCCTTCTCGAACCCCGGCGGAAGCCGCGGGGTCGCCGGCATCAATAGGGAAGGTGCCGGCATCAGCGGGGAAGGTGCCAGTGTGGGGTCCCCGCCTCTGGATGGCTGGAGCCCTGGAGGTGGTGGCATCAGCTGGGGAGGTGCCAGTGTGGGGTTGCTGCTTTCGGACGGCGGGGGTCGAATCGGTGGGGGCACCGGCATCAGCGGGGGAGGTGCTGGTGTCATGGCGCCACCTCCGGAAGGCGCGGGTCGAATCGGCGAGGGCACCGGCCTCAGCTGGGAAGGCGCCAGAGTCAGGTTGCCGTCTGTGGACGGCGGGGGTTGAATCGGCAGGGGCACCGGCATCAGCTGGGAAGGTGCCCGAGTCAGGTTGCCGTCTGTGGACGGCGGGGGTTGAATCGGCAGGGGCACCGGCATCAGCTGGGAAGGTGCCCGAGTCAGGTTGCCGTCTGTGCGCGGGTCGAATCGGCGGTGGCGATGCCGACGCGAGTTTGCTGCTTTCGGACGACGACGGCGGCGGTAGAATCGGGCTGACGAGCGCTACGACGTGCAGCGGGCGACCGTCGCCGCGCGCTCCCCGCTCGAATCGGTCGGATGTCCGCGCGGCGCGGTCAGTCCGACTCGGCAGGCCCAGACGGGGTTCGGGATCGCTTGGGAGCCGGTTGCCGCGACGACGCCTCGCGTCCAACATGGATCTCGGAGCGGGTCGTGCGTCTGCCCTCCGGCTGGTCTTGCCGGAGCGACTGCGAGCTTCGGATGTAGAGCCGTTTCGCACGACGTCCCACTTGTCTTCGATGTACGAGTCGTCATTAACTGACGCACCGCTCTCCGCTGCGCACGCGCTTACAGCGGTCTCCTTTTCAAAAATACGATTGTCGCCAAGCTCCGCAGGATGTTCACATTCTTGTTTCGCCAGCGGGGGAATATCGGAATCGATGAGAGAAGGCTGCGAGATTAGGTTCGACTGAAAGATCGTCTGCGACTCGGTGATGGCGCTAGTACTAGTAGTAGTCTTCTGACTCCTGTAGCTTTCTGCCTGGCTGGTGGTCGGATCGCCTCTCTGATATTTCTCTTTGGCGCTGTATTGCGCTGGGGTACCTTCCTCTGTCGGCTTCACTTCGCACTCCTCCTCCCAGTTCTCTTCCGGCGGTGTCTCCGCCATCTTGCAACTGGCAACGTGGCGTGGCTGGTGGTGACGGTCACCGCAGACTCGCACACGAGGCGGGCAGGCTTGCTGCGGTTTCGCAATTCTCGCCCGTTGAAGATCGGCGCTGCTAACTTTCCTTGTTGTCAGGTCTTTGTTTTTATCAATAACCTGACTGCTTAAGGCACCTCTCTGATAGGTTGGTACAGCGTGGGCTATCTCAGGATATTTTCTTTGCACGTCTTTATGGATTTCTGGGCTGAATTTAAACTTTGCATCTGACATTTCAAAACGGTTTTTCGCAATTACCTCGGTGTTTCCTATATGCTCGCTGCTTCGTATCAAACTTTCTTTACCAGATTCATGTGGTAAATGTGGGTCTCTAGAATCCAAATCGGTCACATGTGATGGTTTATTGCTTTTTATTTCTCTAACTGACACACGCTTACTTCTGATATCCCTATCTCTAGCATGATGACGAGGCTTGATGGAACTTTTCTGCGAAAAATCCCAGGAAAGGTCATCGCGACAGCTCTGTAATGAAAACATGCACTTGGAATGCTCTGCCTTCGCTAAATCTCCGGCTGTTACACTGCCCATCGTCTTTGACGACGATGGCAAGATGTCTGCATGACTACGCTTATCCTTTACCTCGGGCCGACTTGAGATGGAATTGTATGCTTTGACGGGTATCTTGCCAGGAGCTGCGTCGAGTTTCTCACATTTAGTTTCAGGTTTTTGAGCCGCCCGTTTCTCGTGCGATTTTTGCACACGTTCCTGGTTGGATTCCTTTCGACATTTACTCCTGTGAGTCTCTTGTGGAGCAGCCTTTTTCCTATGATTAACGCCCCCCCTTTTGCCTCTTTTTCGGAGCTTCACTTGACCTACCAGCAGTTGCCTAGAACAGCTGCTCGTCTCATGTAGTTTTTCTCGCGTATCTTTCCTCTCTGGCGTCGCTACCTTACCCTTCATTCTACTCAAATCTCCACCGATAATGTCTTGGTTTCGGATGTGGTGTTTCTGAGCTGGTTTCTCACTAGGGTTCGACAGGTGGGTGTCTCTAGCGAGCGATGGGCACTCAACGGGAAAAGACGAGCAGAGTCGTCCTGTTCCTCTGTCGACGTCATCTGGTGGCCGTTCCAACCGATTTCTGCTCTGGTCCTTCTGTCCAATGACCACAGTCAAAACGTCGGGTCTCGGTTGTTGCAGCAGCTCTGTTGTAGGTGTGCATTCGTCGGTAATGCGTAACGCCACATCCGTGGAGGTGCCTTGCTTGTGAATACGTTCACAGTCGTCCGTCACATCTGCTGCATCGTTTGATGGCGGAAAAGGGGGTTTAGCGTGCGAACTGGATGCAGCATTGCCATGTTTACTTTCTGTCTGTTTGACTTGTTTCCTGCTTTCACTGGTTTCAACAGACCTATCACAGTTCACAATGTTCGTATCAACCTGCTCAATGTCCCTTGCCGCTGAGCTACATCCTTCCGTGTCAACTGGAACACTGGCACTTTCCAGCAGTTTTACGCTAGTGTTGAAGAGGACGGCATCTTTGAGGCGTGACAGATGCACGACAGGTACATAAGAGTAGAGATGTCTTCTCATTGTTGTACTGACCTCATCTGATAATTGAGCCAACTGCTTTCTGCCTCTGCCTCTGCCTCTGCCTCTACCCAGCTTCTGGGTTTTTAGACCAATGGCTACAGTCTGAACCTCAGGTTTTGGTACCTTTGGTTCTATAAGCAACTCTCTATATACCGAATCATCATTCGGGTCAAGTGAATTGCGCGGCACGTCGGTTTCTGTCACGGATCCGTCATTTATGCCTTTCTCCACTGAGGTACGTCCACCATTTAGATCAACCTCCCCATGACCTGCAGTCGTTGTGCGTGAGGTGTCCATGCTCACAGAGTGAATAACGGGTTTTGGTACCTTTGGTTCTATAAGCAACTCTGTTATAGCCAACGGGTTTAATTCCTTTCTGTTCAATACACGTAGATGTGGCATCTACAGAGGTGTATTTCTGTTCCACCTGCTGGCAGTTGACTGTTGTGACATCAGTAATGTCACCTGATGGCTGTGTGATAGGCTTTCAGTGTGTGCACAAGCCTTCAAGATGTCAGCGTCGTTAAGGCGTGATAGATGCACAACAGGTTGATGAGAGAGAAACCGACTTATTCCAGTATCGACGTCATCAGATAATTGTGACTTCTGTCTGCCCCTGCCTCTTCCTCTGCCTTTACACAGCTGGTTTTTCGAATGAGTGACTACAGAGACAACCTCTGGTTCTGGCATGCCCTGAGTTTTTGGCCTTCTATGCAAACATCTCTTATAGGATGCATTCTCTCAGATCGTGGGTTAACGTGTCACCCTACACTGGACCGGTGTCTTGCTGGTCAACACGTTGACAGTTGACTGTCACGTCTGCCTTACCATCATTCGGGTCACATGTGATAGTTGCGGCGCAACGTCGGTTTCTTGTCACGGCATTCCGTGTCCATTTATGCCTCTTTCGCTCTGAGGTACTCCACCATTTAGATCCAAGACTCTCCCACGACCTGCAGCGTTGTGCATGAGTGTCCAGCTCACAGAGTGAATAACAGGTTTTGGTACCTTTGGTTTCTATAAGCACTCTGTTATAGACATACCTTCTTCAATACACGTAGATGTGGCTATATCTAACAATATGGTGGTAGTTTTCTGTTTCTACCTCTCGGCAGTTGACTGTTGTGTACATCCCTCAAGTTAAATGTCATTGATTGGCTGTCATAGGCTTCAGTCCGTTGGCAAACATTACAAGATGTATATATCGCGTCCGTTAAGGCATGATGAGACTGCGGCGATCTCGGGTACATTACAGAGTAGAGATGACTCTTTCATGTGTCTTAGCTGACCCTCTCATCTGAAAACTTGGAGGCCCACTCTTTTGCCCTGCCTCTGGAGGCCTCTACCGCGCCAAATCATCTTAGCGAGGGTTTTTAGAGACGGCAATGGCTTACACTCGACTGTCCAGGTTTGTGGTACCTTTTTGGTTCTATACAGCAACTCCTCTATATACTCACGTAGGCATCATACAAATTCGGGTAAGGTGAATTCGCGCAAGCCAAACCGTCGTTTCCTGTCACGGATCCGGTCAATTTATGCTCTCTCTGAGACCACTGCGGTACGTTCAACACATTAGATCGAGGACCTCTACACTCCGACTGTCAGTCGTTTGTGCGATCGAGGTGGTCCATCTCTCACAGGTGAATAACGGGTTTTCTGGTAGTTCTGGGTTGCGTATAGTCAGGCTAACTCTGTTTGGACATAAAACCCGTTCTAGTGAGGCAATACCTCGTAGTGGGCATCTAAAGAAGGTGTATTTCTGTTCCACCGCTGCAGTTCTGTGACTGTTAGTAGCCTCAGTCAATTGTCACCCGAATGGCTGTGCTAGAGAGCCATTCAGTAGTGTGCACTAAGCCTTCAAGACTTCAGGTTGGTTAAGCGCGTGACATAAGATGCACAAACAGGATTGGATGTGAGACGAAGAACCATAAATTTTTGATGTCAGGACCTTATTCCAGTATCAACGTCATCAGATAATTGTGACTTTTGTCTGCCCCTGCCTCTTCCTCTGCCTTTATACAGCTGGTTTTTCGAATGAGTGACTACAGAGAAACCTCTGGTTCGGCACCTTTGGCTTTCTATGAAAACATCTGTTTATAGGTATGCGTTCTTTCAGTGTGGGTACGTGTCGCACCTACATACGTGTCTGCTGTCAACTCGTTGACAGTTGACTGTCACGTCTGCTTTATCATCATTCGGGTCAAGTGAATTGCGCGGCACGTCGGTTTCTGTCACGGATCCGTCATTTCTGCCTCTCTCCACTGAGGTACGTCCACCATTTAGATCAACCTCCCCACGACCTGCAGTCGTTGTGCATGAGGTGTCCACGCTCACAGAGTGAGAAACGCCGACCAAGGAATCAGTTTCCAGCGAGGAACACTCAAGATCTTCCTCGTGCGAGTCGTTGAGGAATCGATCGAGCAACAGGAGTTCGGCGGCAACGTTCCCCTGACCGCATTGCGGCGAGATAACGCATTTACTGATGAAGGCCTTCAGCGTGTCAACAGTGGGCTCATCACACACAGACCCCGTTACCCGTTGTTCATCAGTGTTTTCTTCGACGGAAGACCTGGTCTGTTTCGGAGAGTCATAGTGCACACGTTTTCTAGCTCCTGTTCCTGGCATGGCATGCTCGTCTACTGTTTTTAATGCAGAAAGCGGTCCTTCTGTCACAGAAACCGAACTCTGCTTCATTGTTTGAGAAACAGACGGCTGCTCCACTCTACTAAAACCAGGAGAAGGTTCTACTGTTCCATGGGAACTAGACTTTTCTACTGTTGCACAAACAGAGTTCTTCTCTATTGTCGCACATGAGGTAGACTGCTCTGCTGTTCCAGAAGCAGAGCTCCTCTCTACAGTTACACAGACAGATTTCTTCCCTTCTGCTCCATGACCAGATTTCTTCTCTACAGTTCCACAGCCAGAGTTCTTCTCCATTGTTCCACACAAACTAGATTCCTCTGCTATTCCACAAACAGAGTCCCGTACTGTATCACTCAAATACAACCGCTCTTCTGTTCCGGGAGCAGTGGGCCTCTCTACTGGTCCAAGAGAAAGTTGTAATTGTGTTCCAACTGAAGTAGGCTGTTCAACTGTTACAGATGAAGAAGGGTCCTCTGTGGATCGAAGAGGATCAAGGAGTCCTGTGATAGTAGACTGCTGCAATGTTCGACACGAAGGGTGCTGACTCGCTCCTCCAGAGAAAGACAGCTCTGTCATCTCCGAAGACGTCTGCTCGACTGCTCTAAATAAACAAGTGTTCTCCTCTGAGCTACATGTAGGGACATCACTGGTGCATGCTGACCTCTCTCCTTCCACCACGGATAAAGCTGCCTGTTTGTCCGTACGAGAATATGCAAGCGGCGTGTTTTCCATAACTGCAGGATGCTCTGCACAGTACGCTAAATCGCCACGCTCGTTCTGCCGTGGCTCGGCTATGCCCACACTAGCAGAATGCGCACTGTCTAATAACCCCTCTTCAAGTTTTACAGTCTCGGACATCAGGTCATGTTTTTGTGCACGCACCCCCGCAGCCTGGTCCAATTTCTTTTCGGTCTGCATGGGGACGTTTACCGCGGTCTGACACACGTTCTGTGCTATTGTGTAGCCGTCGGGCTGTGCTCCTAGAACTAAAGACACGTGTGCAGAAAGTGCTTGATCGAGTGCAACAGTGTTCTTACCTAGCTTGGCAGTGCGACGCAGCCTCGACACACGTTGGCCGATAGACGGGACCGCTCGACCCCGTATCTTATCGAAGAACAACGCGCCGCCCCGCGATCGAAAGTCGTAAAGACGGCCCCCGAGACGTTTCAGTTTCAACCTCGATGCCTCGGCCGGTCTCAGCTTCCACCCGCAGAACAGCCGAGACGCTCTCCTCTCTTTTAACGACGCGCTGAGTCGCTTGTTAGGTTTCGTCGAGTCGGCGCTTTCGGACGTGGTCGCCGTCGACGACGACCGAGGCGGATCGACGCTCGAACGCCGATCACGCCCCGTGACTCGAGCGGCCGCCTTTGCTCTCGTTTCGTCCGTTTTTCCCGCCAAACTTTTCGTCTTTCGGTCGGACGAACCGTTCTCCTCGGTGGAATTCGCGCCGCCTGCGTCTGAGGACAAAGCAGCGATGCTAAAGGAAGCGGGGGTGCCGCGTTTCACGTTCTTCGCGATACTGGTCGTTCTGTCGGCAGCGAGAGCTCTGACTTTTCTCGGAACTGGGCTGGCTTCAAGAGTTTTGGATCTTTTCGACGGTACGGATTGTCGCTCCGATGCGTTTTCCTCCTTACAGGTGTGTTTATTATCACATTCACTGCCTTGCCTATCACCTATTAAAGGGAAATCAACATGTAAAATTTGCAGCTGTTAACACGAGAAGAGCGAGTTTCGGTTTTGGGACAAATTCACCCCCCAGACGACAGACCCACTTCGCGTTGCTTCGTCTTTTAATAAAATTCCTGCATCTGTACACAGTACAAGGCCAAAAGCATAACAAACTACCTTTAACTTTAAGCTTGCCAATACAACTTGCAGAGTTCATAGTCTCATCAACGTTGACAGCGCCTGTTCTTGGTTCGGCATCACTTTACTTATACTAGGCTGTGATAAAAAAAAGTATAATATATAGTATAACAACAGAACATTGAAAATTCTTACATTTTATTACCGCCCATAGCAATCTTGGTTTTCCAGAAGACAATGCTAAAAACAATACTAATTACTAGTAGTACTACTAGTAGTAAATTTAAAATTCACACCCAATTATGGAGTTGGGAACATCAAACTTTGCACGAGGTTTGCTTGCCAACCCTCTGTTCAGAATTCTATCCATGAACCGTACATAGTATTATTAGTATTATCAGGACAGGAGTAAGATTAAAGATAATAGAGGATTATAATTATTAATATATTATCTTACTCCTAGTATTATTACAAACAGCGTACATCACTAGACACTACATCATACATGTAACATAAACATAGCATGGTAAAATGACAGGAAGTTTTTACATTCATGGTTTCTAAAGATAGCAAGCTAGCGTTAATTTTACCTAACGAATAAAACATTCTGAAAGCGTACCTGAGAACGTGCGTACTTGAGGCAGAGACAATAGAACACTAATAGAATCTGTTTAATAGAATGTTCTATACTAGGGTCTCTGCTTGAGGGGCGTCCAGAAACGTGAGGCGCGCGCGTTACAAAATTCGCGGAACTCGCGTATGGATTTGTATAGATGGCGCTACCTGTGCTGTATATGAAAAGCAAAAATGAGGTGAAAGTTCAACTTTCAATGTTTACTCTGTTCGTTGTTACCATTCTGAAATGTCTGCTATTCTTCGATTTGCACAGAAGAAAAACATCAATCTAGGCAAAGCTACAGGTGGTGTTGTTTTTGCTGTATTATGTGCTTATGGCATTAAGCGAAGTTACAAAATTCTTAAACAGAAACAGAAAGAATCTGCTTTCATCGTTGCCTCTCACGCTGATAGTGATACTGCCAATACTGGCAATAGTAATAGTAATACAAATGTAAACAGCAGCAAGCGTGAAAAAAAGAACGTGCCTGCCTTCGATAAAGTGTTCCTACGTCAGCTTGTTAAAATTCTAAAAATTGTCGTTCCGAGCGTATGGACGAAAGATTTTCTGTTACTCGTGATACACACGACTACGCTTGTGTCACGCACCTTCCTCTCCATATATGTGGCATCATTGGACAGCAAAATCGTTCGGAGCATCGTCCGGAGAGATGCAAAAGCTTTCACATTGATGATGATGAAATGGCTTCTTGTCGCCATTCCTGCTACGTTCATCAACAGTCTTATTCGCTTCCTCGAGTCGAAAGTCGCCCTCGGTTTCCGTACGCGCCTTGTTCATCACGCCTACGAGCTATACTTCAAAAATCAAACGTACTACAAAGTTAGTAACATGGACAACCGACTCGTGAATGCAGATCAGTGCCTGACTGAAGATATCACCATGTTCTCCCAGCAGGTGGCGCACCTCTACTCGCACGTCACCAAGCCTATTTTGGACATTGCCGTCGTGACAATAACGTTAACGGCTATGACGATACGCAAGGGCGCCTTCTCGTGGAAGCCCCCTCTTATTGCTACTGTTGTGATATATGCGACGGGGAGGATCTTGCGCGCTCTGTCGCCCAAGTTTGGGAAGCTGGTGTCAGAGGAAGCCAGCAGAAAAGGGTATCTACGATACGCTCATTCAAGAGTCATTGCAAATGCAGAAGAGATTGCTTTCTATGGAGGCCACAAGGTATGAGGCCAGCCGGGGAGAGAGAGGGGTTAGGGAGAAGGAGCAGAATAGAGAGAGGGAGAGAGAGACCTAGGGAGGAGAGAGAGAGAGATAGGAGAGAGAAGGGGAGAGAGAGAGAGAGAGAGAGAGAGAGAGAGAGAGAGAGAGACAGAGAGAGAGATGGAGGTGAGTATAGTGACAGACATTTTTTTTACAACGAATGAATAATCTTGCAGGTCGAGAAAAACCTTCTATCTAAGTGCTACAATGATCTCGTGGAGCAGATGGACCTGATATACCGCAAGCGTCTGTGGTACATTATGCTCGAGCAGTTCCTCATGAAATACGTGTGGAGTGCTAGTGGATTGACCATGGTCGCCATTCCAATTATTACTGCTGATGGTATCAGACGAGATGGTAGGTGCTCCACTGAAGTACATACTTCTATGTTTTGTATATCGATTTCTTCTACACTGTCAAGTAATCAAAGCGCAGTTAGCAGCTACTTTACGATATATATAGGGGAAGGAGAGATGGAGTAAAAGAAAGACGAGAGACAGAGAGATGCAAAGAAGTTGGAGATGATCCGTACATCACATGTAAATATTCCTCTGACAGGAATCCTATCTTACCTAATCCAGGAATGAATCGTATATCAGCATTATTTTAAAATATTTTTGCCAATTTATGTGCTGCCTGTTTTTAGCTCACCTTGACATGGGTGCCATCCGTCCGTCCGTCCGTCTGTCCATCAACATTTGGCTACGGTCAACGATAACTCAAGAACCGTTTGACCCACATGTTTCAAATTGCATATAGTTGTTACTCCTATGGGAGAGGTTTGAACGTCCTATTTTGGAGCACGCCAGTCGACCTACATTCGAGCCACGTCAACTTTTTTGCAAAAATGGAAATGGCCATAAGTCAATTCGGGTTCAACGGATTTTGCTAATTTCTAGTATGTGAATGAACAAGGACTGGCCCCAAAACATATCACACGGGTTTTTATATATTTTTTAAATTATGCAAATTAGGTAGATTTTGGCAATTTCACTATGCATTTCAGTGTCTGTCTACGGTCAACGATAACTCAAGAACCGTTTGACCCACATGTTTCAAATTGAATACAGTTGTTACTCCTAAATTCATCTAAATTCCTAACGGCCATCTAAATTCATTCGATTTTGTTAAATTTTGGTATGTGAATGTGTAAGGCTAGCCCCAAAGCAGTTGTTACTCCTATGGGAGAGATGACAACGTCCTATTACGTTTATTTTGTCTAACTGTTCAACAACTCTACAATCATACCTATATACGTGTAATATTGTGTTTTAGATTCTTCGTTACAGTAATTTGACTGGAATATTTTATTGTTTTTATTTGCACGATATTCGAAAACCAAAATGACTATCATTTAGGCGTAGCGCCATCTCTCGTCAAGATTTCATACTTTCAGATCTGAAACATTTATTTTCGCATCAAAACTTATGCATATATCATTATCAAGAGTATATAATGGGAGATATGCTATATAATGGGAGTTCTCCCATATATGCTCTTGCTTTATATATCTCCCCTCCCTCTTCTATCACACCCAAGGTGAGCTACAGTGTCATTGACACTTTCATTACATGATGTTTTTTGGTCGTTATCAATTCGTAGGAACTAAGTATACAGATGATCCGGATGGCGGTGTGACTGAGCGTACGAAGGCTTACACGTTTGCTAAGAGTCTACTTATTAATGGAGCCGATGCCATCGAAAGACTCATGTCTTCCCTAAAGGAGGTTAGTTCTCGTAAACACGTCTAGAGCTGGAAGGTTCTTTTAACATTTCTGATTGCTTCTTCACTTCATATACTTTACGTGTGCGTTGCGATTTAGCGATCTGTCAAGACCAACACCGACTATCTCCACCATACGACATGTTTTTTAACATTTTCGCTTATGTGCAGATAACGGAGCTGGCAGGCTATACTTCACGGGTGCATGATATGCTAGAAGTGTTTGAACACGTAGCAAATGGCAGATATGAGAGAAACTCTGTTACTGTAAACAGCATAAAGAGCAAGGGTTCTATAAATGGATCATTAGATATCAAAGGTTTGTAGCTATTAGTATAACACTAGACATCGCTAATACTCACATATGTTGCAGTGTATTTCTATAAATATTATATAAACGTATACAGTCAAGAGTACGTGAATGAGAGAGTCGTTTAAGTACTCCTATTACAGTAATACGGTTATCTTATGATTCTTATCTAATCCCAACATAGGTTTTTACCCATTCTTCTCTTTTTCATAGTTGTGATCTGTTAAATTATGCTATAGAAGCCCCATTTTAGTTTATTAATTAGCTAGACATGAATTGCATTCCTGTTATGTGTGTTGACTGAATTTTGTTGTTTGACTCGAATGGGGGTTCTTTTACTATTTATAAGTGTATTCTTCCACGCTGTTTGTACTAGGGGAAATAGTCGAGAGCGTGGATGGTAGTATCAAACTCGAGGACGTACCAATAATCACACCAAATGGAGATGTCGTCGTTGCGAGTCTGTCCATTGATGTGAGTATAACAATACCTGCTTATATACTGTTATATAATCATCTATTGAATATATTCTTAATGGAGAAATTAGCGGTGCATAACAACGTATAACGTATAACGTGTATAACAACGTGTTAATAAATTGTGGAAGGTTGTAGGTGTTAACCATTCATGCAGGTTTAATTTACATTATCTCAAACAGATGATACCAGGGCAGCACCTACTCATCACTGGTCCCAATGGCTGTGGTAAGAGTTCGTTGTTCAGGATACTGAGCGGACTGTGGCCCGTGTACCGTGGAAAGCTCCACCGTCCGCTGAACTGCAGCACGTTCTACATTCCACAGAGGTAACAAACAGGCTTCACGCCATCAAAGAGACATTACGCATCAGGGTAAAAAATACACGGGAGCGATGAGTGATTCGCTCTTCAAACCTCTGAAATCGCTCCTGTGAAATTTTTAATTTTTTCCCCTGGTACGCATGAATTACGATCCTACTGGCACGAGATTAGATGATTAAAACTAGCACTTGTCTTCGACCTTTTCTCTGGTGCATGACAAGTGCTATGTCAAGTGCAAGTGTATGCCAGTATAGCTCACTAGGTCTTATGACTTGGGTGTTCACACACGATCCGCATTAATTCCCGCGTAGGCCGTACATGTCGGTGGGGTCGCTGCGGCACCAGGTGATCTATCCGGACACGGAGAGTGACATGGCGGCGCGCGGGCTCACTGACGATGACCTTGATGCCGTCCTCGGCGTGGTGCACCTGCAGCACATCGTGGCCCGAGAGGGAGGTTGGGATTCGTGCAGCGATTGGAAGGACGTGCTGTCAGGCGGGGAGAAACAGCGAATGGGAATGGCTCGGCTCTTCTACCACAAGTACGCTGTTATTTTAATTTATTTTCATTTTCACTGTGTGCTGGCATCGGTTCTCTAAGTATTTAGTTATTTTCTAGTGTTCTAGTGTAATAATTGAATAGCCTTTCCAAAAGCTTTTCAGATGTGAAGTATACACAGGTCTGTATAAGCAATGTATACACATTTATGTATACCATAGGGCATAGGTAATGCAAGTGCAAAAACGCATCACTGTTACAAATGTACTATTCCAAAATCACTAACATAATTCAATATCAAAAGCTGTACTAAACAATCTTACATTAGTGTTAAACTTAAATTAGACTCAGATGTTTTCTTTTGCCTACATGGAGAGGTCTGTTTATGCAATGTGTGTTAATAACTTAATACTGCGGTGTAAGCGTGATTTTATACTGGTTTGCCAACAGACCACAGTTTGCGCTACTCGACGAATGCACTAGTGCGGTATCTATCGATGTAGAGGCCAGCATCTACCAAACAGCCAAAGATATGGACATCACCCTCCTCACCATTACACACCGTCCTTCTCTCTGGTACGTGCTCATTGTCTCGTCTTCAGGTCACTCGTCCGGCAAAAGGCATCCCTAGATGTTGACTTGATAAGTCGGTGGTTTAGGAAAACGTTTGTTTGAGGAGGTGTGTTTTGAGTGTGACCGTTGACGTGAATCTCACTGTTATTCACGACTGGAATTGAATACTGTTCTACTCTTCTAGTGCTCTGTGAACAGCCTATGTATAGATAGAGGGAACCCTTTTAGAACAACCATTTAGAACAAAATCGAAGGGAATCGAACCAATCGTTGTTCTGGCCCTCGACCCTAAATGAACGACCTACCCTGAACTCGACCCTAACCCCAACCCTCCCCCTAATGCTAACCCCAACCCTAACCCTAACCCTAACCCCAACCCTGTAGCCACCAAACGCCCGCTGTGGGATCTCCGCGAAGCACTTCCCCCACCAACGATCGACGTCCACGCACACGCATCCTAAAACCCTCCCTCTCCTCACTTGCAGGCGCTTCCACACGCGGGTGCTGCAGTTTGACGGTGAGGGCGGCTGGCACGTGGAGCGTCTCGACGCGAGCGCGCGCATCTCGCTGCGAGACGAGGCACGCCGTCTCGAGACGCAGCTGGCGGGCGTGGCGCGCGACGAGCGGCGGCTGCGCGAGATCTGTCGCGTCCTCGGCGAAGAGTCGGCGATGCTGCGCAACATCGACCGCCAGCACGACGAAGATTGCCACACGGCGACGCCCGACGACGCGGACGCAGACGACTAGCCGCGTGGCGACGCCTGACGACGCAGTCGACTAGCCGCGCGGCGACGCCCGACGACTAGCCGTTAACTAATCACGAGGGAGACTAGCCGCGCAGCTGTCGACCAGTCACAAGGGAAACATTGGTGACTAGCCGTCGACCAATCACGAGGATGACTAGTCGTGCGTCCGTCGACCAATCATGAGGGAGAGTGCTGACACTAGCTGTGTCAGTGCCACGTCCTCCAAGTCCAACACAGGTGACAAGGTAACCGTTGTGGGATCCAAGAAGGGGTGACAACGACTACTCTAAATGACCTTTAACGCCAATGTTTATGATATTAGTAGTCGACAAGTCGTCTAACGTAGAGAGTGATGGTGAATATAATTACGGCGATGAGTCGTGCTACTGAAACCGGTGCATGAACAGTACAAGTCACTAGGTGGTGCTGTTTCTCACACTCTCTGCAGTCTGCATTGGTGCACGCATGCAGGCTGTACATTTCTACTAACACAGGCAGGAGAACAAAATAGAGTGTGAGTGCCAACGCAGGTGATTATGATGTTAGTAATGGACATAAAAAGGACAGTGACGCAGACGGCAGCAATGACGGAAGTCTAACATGGGCCCTTAAAGTGATTACGTCACCGTAAATATTAAAAAATAAAAAAAATATTTCCACTTTTTCACAAAATATAAGTAATTCTGTTCACATTTTATGGTTAAATTGCTGCATTATACTTCCTATTTTACTATATTGTTTGATGTGAACATACACTCGTGACCCATACATAGCCCATAGCAAGGAATTAATGTTGAGAACATTAATTCAAATCGTCCAGGTTTTTTGGATTTTTAACTAGTTGAGAAACAGATCTTATCAGGTAAGAATTTGACGATTTGTTTAGTCCCGTTAGTTCTTACTTTTAATGTAAAAAAATGGCAATTTTTTTTTACAAATTTTACCATAGAAAATTTGTGACGTAGTCCCTTTAGGAAGACAATGACAGTACGATAATATCCAAGAGATCTACTTAATCAGGTGCTTATATCTCAATGCCATGCATTGCTTACGTCATTACTAGTCAACCAATTTTATTTAAAATAACCTAGTCTACAAATAAATGTGGTTTAGTAATGTTAACCACGTACATAACTACATAAGACGACATGGTCTTGCTATGACTATGAGGTGTTGAGGTGGAATGGTGGTGGCATAACTGGCAGCTAGATGAGCATACAATTAAATAGTCTACCAGATCCTGCCATAGTAGTCTTTCATTTTATTTTATTTCCCCGATGCCCTGCGTTATGATGGCGGGAGAGCGGATAAGCACTTTGCTTTACTTTCGTGTTTATTTCCCATGGTGACTTGCCTATTTAAGCTCGCAAGGAATCTTAAGAAAGTGGGCCGTTAAGAAAACACATCAAATAAGGTTCTATGAATTGGTCCTCTTCATAACTTGTTTGCATATATACAAAGGTTGATCATTCATTTTCTAATCAATGCAATTTAACTACAATTATTAGTAAGGACTAATAAATTAATGCTATAGATGACCAAGATGTTGGGTGGGGATTACTGTGATATTCCAAAAATGTGCTTTCATGTAACTCGCCCTCTGTATCAAATATAGGTTCATAATATCAGGAGTAGATAATAAGGAACCCTATTATCTACTCCTGATAATATAAATGATGTAAATGAACAGTCACTTTGGATATATATACATACATACATAGTGAAACCACCGTATTAAAACAACTTGCTAAAGTTTCTATTTCTATATGTTTTTAGCTCATCTGACGTAGTCGGGTGCAGCTTGTAGAATCGCATGATTGTCCGTGCGTCCGGCCGTCCGTGCGTCCGTCCGTCAACAGTTGGGCACAAATCTTAACCGCTCGCGACGCACGGTCACGATATTCGGGACGTGGGGGGGTAATCCGAAAACGAGTTGGGATGTCAAAGCTGGGGGTCAAAGGTTAAGGGTCAAGAGGTGTAAAAGAAGGGGGAACATTCCCTCCTTAACTTAAGGTATAGGGAGGAAATGCGGAATTGCGGCACAAATCTAAACGGCTCAGCCTAGGCTCGTGATAGTTGGTGTATAACGTCATGGTAGGAAAAGCCATCACTGTACCGAAATTGGAGGTCACAGGTCAAAGGTCAATAGGGCACAGGGCAGATTTTAGACATTTTCTGAGGACATGGTCTGACGGAGCGATTGAAAAACTTTTTTGTTTCAGCGGTGACCTACCATTTTTATGGCTTTATTGAAAGGACCATGAAATGTACTTTCTGCTGACATGCGAAGAGTAAGTGTCGGATAACATTTTGACCCTCAAGAGGAGGACCCACGGGGCAGCCCATGGCTGGCACGCTTCTAATCATAATTGTTGCATGCCAACCTGCAATGCACATGTGTCTGCAATGCATAGAGATTAGGTGGGTGCGAAAGTGTAGCTGATATCTTTGTTCCAATTGGCTACGAAAGTCAAACAAGAATAAAGAAGACTTATGTATAAGACGTCTTGCTATGCATAAATGAATTTATCAGCAGAACACCAGACACCAGATGAGCCCTGTCGCACTGTGGCACTTGTTTTATCAATGCCATGTATTATTTTGTTTACTCATTATATTAAATTTATTATATATGTAATTTGATTTACAAATTTTAATGTCCTAGCATTCCAGCATAATAGTTGTATACACATTGTAAATTTGTGCGGCTTCATTTACTATTTAGCACACTGTTTAGCCGCGCAATATATACTTGCTTATAGCATACCCTAGTTTACATGTCATTATTTTCTGGATATGTGTATGGTCGGTTATAGGGACTTGGTGCATGGACTATTTACGAGTGGGCGTCTATTTACAGTGTTGTTTAAAAAAATTGAATTCTGTTCGCATATATGTTTACTTTCTTTGAACACTTTTCTGTGAATTTATCAAAGTAATAATTGTGTAGCTTGTATTGGTGTTTTAGAATTCTCCAAGAAGTAAACGTGTCAGCTTGTGTGGTCATTACCAATGCGTTATATCATGAACATATCAAGAACTGATAATACTTATCAACTCTTGCTATATATATGTTCATGGTTGTATGTATAGGGGCACATCAGTGCCAAAAGTGTGCTATTGTTGTGCATTATGACTACATTTGTGCTTTGTGTAGCATTCGTATTACTGAGAGTAGCTTATATTGTGGGCTAAGCAGATTGTGTATTAATTGTATCCCCCGCGACAAAGTCGGCGGGGATACTATGGTTTCATGTCTCCCCAGCCGCCGCCGCAGAGAATTTCCCTTCCGCTCTATATAGCTTGACCCCTAATTGACCTAGCATGACCAAACTTGGTATACTTACACATCTTGGGGAAAGGTGAGCAGCGTACCAAAACCAGGTCACTGCGACCTTTATTTGACCTTTACTTTGACCTTGATCATATTTCCCTTCTGCTCTCTAACTCGGCCCCTAATTGACCTAGCGCTACCAAAACCAGGTCACTACGACCTTTATTTGACCTTGATCATATTTCCATTCAGCTCTATAACTCGCCCCCTAATTGACCTAGCGCGACCAAACTTCGAATACTTACACATCTTGGGGAGAAGGTGTGTCGCATACCAAAACCAGGTCACTACGACCTTTATTTGACCTTTACCTTGACCTTGATCATATTTCCCTTCCGCTCTATAACTCGGCCCCTAATTGACCTAGCGCTACCAAACTTGGTATACTTACACATCTTGGTGTGAATGTGTCGCGTACCAAAACAAGGTCACTGCGGCTTTTATTTGACCTTGACCTTCATCATATTTTCCTTCTGCTCTATAACTCGGCCCCTAATTGACCTAGCGCGACCAAACTTCGTATACTTACACATCTTGGGCAGAAGGTGTGTTGCGTACCGAAACCAGGTCACTGCAACCTTTATTTGACATTAACCTTGACCTTGACCTTCATCATATTTTCCTTCTGCTCTATAACTCGGCCCCTAATTGACCTAGCGCGACCAAACTTCGTATACTTAGACATCTTGGGGAGAACACGGGGGATACATGTAGTTCGCGGCAACTGCCCTTTCTAGTTTAATATCAACATCACATTCACTTTCACGAAAACGTTCTGTCATTCGACCAAGCTTGACATTTTCTTTCATTGTAACCATAATGTTTATATAATGCGAGGCAATTTTGAATAGTTCTGTAAATCATCGTACTGTGTACCGATTCAAATGAGATTAATTTGATGGTAATATATACTACACTGATAATACTTGTCCTACAGAAAATATAGTTAGTACATTCATATTCGAAGCAACACTAGTTTGTCAGTATTAAAAAAAAACCTCAGTATTAAAAAAAAAATTGCCATGTGCTTTTGTTTGCTTTCATTTGTTCAGTGAACATATTTCAGGATCAAAGTATTATAGTATATATATCAAGAGCTCATAATAGAGATCTCTATTATGAGCTCTTGATATATATATCAAAGTATATACTATAATCTAAGATAAGATAAGATAAGTTAATATATACTATAATATCAAAGTATTATAGTATCTTTTATCTTTGTAGGGTTTTTGTTGTTTATTGATGTTTGTACAAATTTGTCGTGCAAACTGCTAGATGTTCTTTCTTGCCAAATTAATGCCAGTCTATGTTAGGTTAACCTCAGGAGCACAATCAAATTTCATACAATTGTGTAAATAGGGACAAACAAATGTTTTTTTTTATGGAGAAATTGTCAAAATCGAATTTTACTATTATTACGGTCATAATTGTGGCATCGTGATATCAAACGTTGATTGTCAGAAATGTTCAATTACAGATGCCCATATTCAACCTTACAGGTGTTAACCTTAGAAGTATACATAAATGAATTAATAAATAAATATTTATTTGTTTATTTATTTCTATTTCTATGGTATCAGCAATGTTCAGTTATTACTTATAATTTGATTGACACAAGTTTATACCCGTATAAAACCTGTTGAAGTACACATTCCATAGTAAGATGGTTCGAATGTTACAATATGGTGTATGTGACCATTGTTTCCAAATAAGAATCAGTTGCATGTGTACGACTGTTAGGCTTCAATGTTACTCTTACTATGGTTACAAGTGCAATGATGTTATTGTTATCGCTGTTTAAATTAAATCAAATTAGAAAATTCATATGTTATTCATAATTATTGATTCTAAGGGTTTATAACAGGTTACAATTACTTTCAATGATATTCTAAATGCTGTTCTAAAGAGAAATACAATAAACAATTCATGAAGTTATGAACAGGCACAGTATATATATATATACATAGTGTCTGGTCTGTTACCAGTGTGTAAATCATTACCCCTAATTATTTGGACCTATTCTGCAAGATTCATAATTCACGAAAGATATATCACTACTCACTAGATAACAAAATGGTTTGCAGCAGTATTCCAGCAACCATTTGATCTCTCCTCAAATTTTGCACTAATTTTGAGGAATACATAAATATGTATGAAATAAAAATATACGCACATTTGCATAAAATCAACAGATGCTATGTTAAATACTCCAAGGTACTTCGGGCCTTTTCCATCTCATGAAGAAATGAGTAGAACTGTGGCAAAGTAAGTTCTGGAATGTAAAAAAAAACAATGAATATTGTATACAAATGTAATGACACAGATAAACATTAGAAATTTGTACATATTAGTGATTATCTGCAACAGACTTACTTTAGGCAGCTTTTGTCATACTTATCCAGACACTTGTAACACACCTTTGAACTTATATTACAATCTAAGTGGTGGACAGTCACACTGGTTTATCCCAGATGCTGAACGTGTATCAGGGGTCTACCTACATTTAGCAATACTCATTCTAAGCATCTTTCCTCAATATGAAAAAATATAGCTACTTCAAATGACCTGTCCTACGATTGAAATAAATCTTGCTGAGCTCAATGTTTGGTACAAATTCTATAAGTTATAAAGTTACCTAAAAACAAATGCCAATTACCAAAACTTTGCGAATGAATTAAATTTGCATGAATAAAAATAAGACATACCCATATAAACATTTTCTATTGTGTTTCCTTTATTAATGACAAGCTTCATTTGAAGGAATGTGTTGCCAGCCTTGTTACGTTCGCTGCTAGATGCTGTGACTATAAAAGACAGATTGTTGATGCATGGTAAAGTTAATTAAACTGTAACAACAAATAAAATTCTTGAGAAAAGGAAAAAAGTATTTAAATTACATAGTATTCTTTACAAATTAATTTCTGTGCACCATCATGACTTGTACAATTTTGTACTTACAATATGTTAATAAATACCAGTAGCAAATGTAAATCAGTCAAAGATTATGGTTCATGTATCATATATGCATTATCCTGCCATTTCTAGTGTTTGTATTGTAGCTTTACCTCCAAACTTCCATTCCATATCAACCAGCTGATTGATGACTAGACCTTGGGGCCTCATTACAGGCTTTGGTATCAAGGTAGGTCCCGTTTGCGAATCCCTGGATGTGTCCTGAAACAAGTTTTTAGGAATGAAGTGTGCTTGCAATTCTGCAACAAATTCTTGAATTTACTGCTCACTAGCCTGCAGCAAAAATGGTACGTAATACGGTAATGTGTATGGTAAACAAATGTTCGCATTGGCTGCAGGGTGGTGGAACAAACCAGAAAACCACCAAGAAACTATAAGAAATCAGATGCAAAGAAGTTACAGCCTATCTAAGAAACTGGTGCGTCACCTTCATTGCCAAGAAATGATGGCCAGATTTAGATGTTGAAAGTTTTGGTACGGCTTCAAATTTCCCCGTTACCTACCTCTTCTTGAAGTTCTTCATCACCCCCCCCCCCACTACCCGTTCTCTGCCATAGATTATTCCTGTTTCCTTCCCCCTGCATTTCCCCAACTCATTCCCTGTAGGCTGTACACTACCACTTTCAGTCTTGGCCACCCACCTTCTTCCTAGTGTCTTTTACGCTCTCCAGTCTTTATCCCAACACTCTCCCTCCACCACCATGCACGTTCTCCTCTCAACTTTCTTAACACACCTTCTTCCCTTTTAGTTTTAGTACTTTTTACCTTCATTCTTCTCCTACTTTACTCTGACTCCTGAGTATCTCTGCTTCCTCCTTCATTTTTTTTATTTCCTTCAATAACGAGTCAGGTTTAGCGTAGGACTAGGGTAATTAAGGCCATTGGTCACTCAGGCACTCACAGGTGTATTCACTCTCTAACCTACTGTGTATTTGTGCATGCACAATGGCGTGCACGCTATGTGTTGCAGCGGTGTATTGGACGGTATTGAAGTAAAGTTATTAGGTCAAATCAAACATTAAGACTAAATTACTGGTACTGGTACTGGTAGGTCTAGTACTGACAAGTTGTATTTATTAACCATTATTTTATTACGACATGGATATTCGTCCGAGCACCTGTTCGTATGCGCTATTCGTCCGAGCAGTTGTTGCGCATGCGCTGTTCATGTTGCATGCCTCAGGCGCACAGCACGAGTGTGTATAATCGGTAGGTAGGAAGTGTGAAGGGCAATTTTAAAAATTTTAAAATCTAGACGCTCTAAAATGCTATTTACCCTTTAGATTTTTGATTATTTTATGCCCTTTAGGCTGGGGGCCTGTAGCGTTTTGCTACGGCTGTGACGCCCCTGCATACATGCGTTGCGTATGTGGTTATACACCATAGATAGTGTTTGGTACTATCACTCGCGTATATACGAAACAGAGCGTATAATAATAGAACCGAGTATTTTTATAGTTAGTATTAGGGTTAGTGTTAGAGAGTAGGCATGGTTAGGTAGTAGGCGCCTACCTAGACTAGCATTATATTACATTTATGTAATACAACATGAACAGCGCATGCGCAACAACTGCTCGGACGAATAGCGCATAAGAACAGGTGTTCGATGCTCGGACGAATATCCA